AACCTTCTCTTTTCCGCAATTTCAAAGTCCAAACTCACTTTCTCGCAATTTCAACAAAATTTTCCGCGAATTTTGCTTCACTTTTCCGTTATTCTTTCCTCATTTTTCAATAAGTATAAGCTCACTTTTCCGCGATTTTCGCCTCACATTGCCGCAATTTCAACCTAATTTTTCCATAATCTTTACTTTTGTTTTTCGTATTTATAACCTCATTTTTTCTCGATTATAACCTTGCTTTTCCGCCATTTTTACTCAACTTTTTCGCAATTAGGGAATCCAAACCACGTGACTTTTGCCAACCAGCCGGCATTTTGAAATTTTTATGAGGTTAGAATACGGGTTTTTACATGTCAACGATGTCAGAAAAGTGTCAGATTTGAGGACTCGTCCCGTGTATTGATAAAGCCTGGTACTCATAAAAGCGAAATTCGCTCTTTTTTCAACGTCAAATTGTCGATGCAATGTCAAAAAAGAGCAAATTATGAGTACTAGGCTTAATCCTGCCAAAAAAAAACATGTGTTTTGTTTATTGTTTGCCAACCAGACGCCATTTGGACAGGTCGTTGGATTGCCTAATTCCAACATTTCCAACCTCATTTTTCCGTAATTTTTACTTCTATTTTTCGTAATTCCAACGTCACTTTCCAGCAATTTTGACACTCACTTTTTCGCAATTTTTGAAAAGTTACGGAAAATTGCAGGAATCACGAAAAATTACTGGAATTATAAAAATAAAGAGAATTACAAAAATTATAGGAATTATGAAAATCACGAATTTTTGAAATTATGAAAATTACAAAACTTGGGGAGAATTTAAAAATAACGAAGTTTTTTAAAAAATTAGGAGAATTAAAAATAAGTACAAAAAATTACGGGAATTACGAAAAAATTATGATTTTTGAAGTTATGGGAAAATTACGAAAAAGTTATGGGGGAATTACGAAAATTATGAGTTTTTCGAAAATGCAATAACTAAGGAAAAATTGACTTTTTTAAGCAAAATTCATTTTCTTACATTTTATTGTTTTTCTAGAAAACTGACAAAAGAATAATTGTGGAAATTTTTCAGAAAAAAGAGGAAAGTGAGGATTTCATTAAAACAAAATTTCAAAATTTTCCAGTAAAAAATCACTTCAGGAAAAATTCTGGAAAATTGACTTATTTAAGCAAAATTAAGGAAAATTCATCCTCTCACATTTCAATTTATTTCTGGAAAACTAATAAAGCAAAAGTTGTGAAATTTTTCCAAGAGAAAGAAGAAAATAAGGAGCTCATTATAGGAAAATTTCGAAATTTTCCAGTGAGAAATCACTTGGAAAATAGACTTTTTCAAGTAAAATTAACATCATCAATCTCACATTTTTTTTTTTTTTGGAAAACTAGCAGAAGAAAAATTTTGAAATTTTTACAGGAGAAAGAGGAAAGTGAGAAGTTCATTATATGTATGTATAAAAATTTCAAAATTTTCCAGTAAAAAATCACTCCAGAAGAAATTCTGGAAAACTAACTTTTAACCAAAATTCATTTTTTTTAATTTTAAATTTTTTCTGGAAAACTGGCAGAAGGAAAATTTCAAAAATTTACAGTGAAAAATCACTCTAGGAGAAATTTTATTTATATATTTTCGGATAACTGAATAAATTCTCTTCTAAGTTAAAAAATGTATTACAAAACAATAATTCCGAAGGTGCTCCATGAATTAATCTATGACATAACTTTTTCTCTAAGTTATGACGTCATCGATGACGTAAGTAAAAACTTGCGTGCCGTGAAACAAACTATATGTTTGTTTGAAATTTCAGACATAAAAAAATCAATTTTTTTTAAAAAAAGGCAAATGATGACGTAAGTACAAACCCTCGTGAAACCAACTTTTCACGCGTCTCATTTTCTTTCCATCAAACTCCAAAAAAAAAAAAAAAAAACAAAAAATGGTGCTGCAACACCCCTCAAATTTGGAGCCTAGTTGCGCTTATGCTACTCGCTTTGGCCAATTTTGCGTACGTTTCTGGGGAAAGTTATTAAGACATTAAAAATTTGCACTTTCCCCCCCGTTTGTCGAAAAATTAAAAGATCCTATGCTTGTCTCCCCACTCTCTCCCCCCCTCGTTTTTCAAAAAGTTGAAAAATCCTTATGCTACTAGGTTCACCTAATTTTGCAAAATATGCACTTTTCCGCCGGTTTTTTGAGAAAATTAAAAAATTTTATGTTACTCAATTCGGGTTGAAAATAAACGTACAAAATTGAGTGAACCCAGTAGCAAGGGTTTTTCAATTTTTTGACAAACAGGGGAAAACGTGCAAATTAATACAACATTCAACTCCCAGAGGAATGTGTAAAATTAAAAATAAGGTGTGCAAAATTAGCCGACAGCTGTCAAAAATTACATTTGAGTGTTGAGTATTCCAAATTGTATTATCATCCGAACTTAAACTGTATGCAAAATTTCAGCAAAATCTATTGCGAAGAAATGGTTCACAAATCTGCATCTGTTACATTTGACAGTTAACACCTGTCATCAGTGGTCTAAAATGTATTATCATCCGAACTTAAAGTGTATGCAAAATTTCAGCAAAATCCGTTGCGAAATAATGGTTCAAAAATCTGCACCTGTCACATTTGACAGTTGACACCTGTCATTAGTGATCTAAAATGTATTATCATCTAATCACCTGAACTTGAAGTGTATGCTAAATTTCAGCAAAATCCGTTGTGAAGATATGGTTCAATCTGCAACTGTCAATTTGACAGTTGACACCTGTCATTAGCGGTCTAAAACCTTCTTATTATTATTGCCTTTCATATTAAACATTAAACTGGTTTGAGGCACATCGATCGGATAGTTTCAAAGTCTATAACGGACATAGGTAGACACACAGACAGACAGACAGACAGAAACAATTTTTGTGTTTTATTCCTCTATTTATTAGTAACAGAAAATTCCTACCCACAAAAATACATAACTATTTACCTATTTATTATTTTTTTTAAATTATAAAATATTCCTATTCTATGGTGGGTATATGTATAATAAGTACCTATATAAAACACAGGCATTTAATTTGTTATACAAAAGACAACTTGGCAACGCAGCCTAGCCTAGCAAATACGCGTGCATTTAGTGTTTTAAATTAATTTAATCGCAGAAACGACTGATTTTACTAGGACACTAGCGCCATCACGCAGGTTTATATTTTCGCCGCCGGACGGTTCTTCTAGAGACGTTAGTCTATAATATTCTTTGGTCTTACAAATACTATATATCTTATGCCCGATTGAACCGTCTCTCTTAACTGAGGCTTAACAATAACTATCCCTTAAATTGACAGTTTTGCATGGAAAAATGTCACTTTAAGGAATGGTTATCTTTAAGCCTCGGTTAAGAGAGACGGTGCAATCGGGCATTAATGGACCTTTCTCATTTTACCTGTGCTGCGCGCGCATCTTGTGGGTGACAGATAATTGAATCGTCAATTTACTGAACACGGTCTGACCCTGACGTATTTAAGCTAACCTCAATAATCAATCAGTATCAACCAATTAGCCTATCCAAAACAGGTGACTTTGACAAGCAAACAAAGAGTTTGTGTGCTTCTTGGTGGACATTTTTATTTAGGTTTGACAGCACCTTGGTTAAGCCTAGTACTCATAACAGCGGGATTTTTTTGACATTGCTTCGACAATTTGACGTTTAATTCACGCATAAAACGTCAAATTGTCGAAGCAATGTCAAAAAAAAAGCGAATTTCGCAATTATGAGTACTAGGCTTTAGTCGCCTAACCAAAACACATGACTTTGACAAGAAAACAAAGTGTTTGTGTCAATGCTGTGCTATTGGCGGACATTTTTATTTAAGTTTGACAGCATCTTGGATAGTCTAATATTGCTGAAAATTATTACAAGAAAACGATAGTTACTTGCTCTCAACCCGAATGAAGACGATTTAAGTTGGGACAGAGATTTGAGGGTTCGTGTAAAATAACGATTTTTATATCAAATACAATGATAATGTACAATTAAAGGTTTGCTGTAAACATTTTTGCTGCGGTGGGTTTTCTTTATCTATTAATGTTAATATGTATTTTGTCATATTTACGTTTAAAAATAAACAAAAACCGAAACATAACCGAAACTGTACAATTTGACAAGTGGAACCAATCAAAGTCATTCCACACAGGTATCCCGCGTCATTATATGTCTTTTTCTTTATTGCAGAAATCTTAATAAACTATCTTTGTTGTTCATTGCATGAGAAAGGTCCATTTCAACGTAAAACAAAAATAGTTAACTGAGCTTTACTCTGACGTGACATTGACAAACTAGTATAGTCCGACAAATACCATTTTAAAGTCACGTGATTTTGGTGGCAAAAAACGTATGTCCATTGATTATGTCGTTGATATCACCTACAAAAAGTTACTGGTGGTTAATAACTATTGAATTTTAAGATATGTTCCCACTAGCATTTTACAAACGCGTTTCTGAAGTAGTATTAACCAATCAGATGGGAATTTTAATACTTGCAATTGTTGCGAGACTCACTTTTGACGCATCTGCTGCCCGTTGTAATTCATTCTGAACTTGAATTAGGTGCTCGTTTTCTATTTGCTTCTTTTCGAGATGGAAAAAGGTTAATATAGTCGAAATTATTAGCTGTGTTTGTTCGTTGTATCATTTTCGAAAATAACTTTGACAAACTAATTGATGACAGTGACGGATTCTATTTCAGGTAAGAATTTTATGAACAATAATTAGACACCAATTTTTTTGTCAATTCTACTATCACCGCTGTTTGAGATGTATTCAACAAGGATAGAGAAAAATCACGTGACTTTAAAATGGTATTTGTTGGACTATATCTACGATTTGACAAATATTAAAAGTGCGGGATTTGGCTACTTGACGCACGCTCGTACCAAAATAAATTTTGGACCCATCTTTTATATCGGATTTTTCATAGATACTTACTGTGTTGCTATTTTTCAACTCATTTCACAGGAATTACTGAAGGAATCACTAGAGGCATATGCAGAGTAGTACCACTTACCTTACATAGGTATAGAGATGGGGCATCTCGGTCTTTTATAAGAAAATTAATTTTCGCTTTAGTTGATACGCATCCTGAAGTATCTATTAATTGTTTTATAGAATTGTTCTCCGAACTTTCTGTACAATTCACGGCCCTAATATCAACGTGAGTATTTCATATGGGTACCTTTATTTTTTACCACCTATTGAATTTTTTAAGGGATAATGTAGGCCAAAGCGCTCTGTATGCTCTGGATTGGACGACATCATTAGTGCAATATGGTTGGAAAAATCGGGAAGACATAATCAAAAGCAAATTCGAGAAAATTGTGGAAACACAAGCTATTTTTCTCACATCTATTGCTGCATGTGGAAAAAATAAGAAAATTGAAAAGGCTTATAGCTTGGTAAGGTGCAGCTCCAGATAAATATTTCTAACACCATCAACACCATTGAAATATTTTAGAATTATTTCAAAAACAAAATATTATGTATCTAGTCTTGAAATATTATTATTAGATTTGTGTTTTTAGTTGAACAATTCCTGGTCCTCAATAACCAACAGTGACTTGTTATATCTAAGTACCCTAAAATCTTTAGAACAAAATCAATTTTTGGTTGTCTTAGAATCCGCTCTAATAAAAAGATGTTCGAATACAGATCCCTCTGCAGTTGAAGAATATCTTGATCCATTTCTAGAGGCATTTATAAAACATTTTATAAGTTGTAAATTTCCACCTCAAACCACTATTATTAGAGCTTGCTATCCACTCTTAGCTCAAATAAACTTAGATAAATTTAAACGAACAGTATTGCCGGCGCTTCAAAAAGCAATGCTTAGAAATCCTGAAGTAATTTTGGAAACTGTTGGCTTGGTTATTATGAGTGTTCAGCTGCATTTGAGTAGTTGCGCCATGGATATTGGAAATAGTTTAATCAGTAAGTGAGTCTAATCTTAATTAAACGTTAATAAAACATTTCTTTATAATTATGCAGCTCATTTACATTCAAATGATGAGAAAGCACGAGCTGATTCTTCGTTAAATTGTAAATATTTAGCTGAAAAAATAACTGAGACTGAAGTTATTGATGAATTGCTCAAAAAAACTTTTGCAGTATATCATGGGGCAAATGGAAAGTTGACTGTCGCAGAACATAAGATGGGAGTGTTACAGGTAAGAATATGATTATATTGATATGAATTTGATAGGAAGTGTCTTCGGGCTTGAAAGTTCAGCATCTTTGAACATGATTCTGAGTCTGAACGCACTTGCACATCATTAAGATCTTTGTTTTTGAAAATAATAATCGTCCATCAAATTATTGATCAGTCACTGTATAAATTAGATTTAAGTGAAGAACAGTGTTTGTCGAAGCATTACAAGAATGTTCTCCAATGGAATTAAGTATCTTGAACATAATCCCGAACCATCGACGGGGGTATATCAGAGACATGAGTATGAAATGGACTGGGCGTACGGCACGAACAGTGATGTAAACATGGTAGGCAACCCTAACTGCACATTAAGGGCAGAAATCCGCGCGCACTTGTTATACGTTAGTGTTAGATACGCGATTTGTTGTAATTTTTTGTTTTCTGATGAGTCGTCATCACTTTTACTAAATAGAAAAGATCTTGGGGGATTATGTAAGGCATCAGAAGATGAAATGAAACTGTGCAGTTTAGCCGAAAAAAATGTTCGTACTCATTACACTCCAAACACTACACTTAAAAAAATTATAATATGGACCATGAGTGACATGAACATTCACAATTATTTTAAGGAGCTTGGTGATCATATATTGGACCAAGATCCTATTAATAATCATTTACTTCAGCTGATCAACGCAATTTTACGTGTTTATTTTCTCGTTAGAATCCATTATCAGAATAAGAAAGCAAGTAGAATCACTGATAAGGTTAGGCAAACGTATACAAAACTTGTAATTTTTAAGAACCAGTAGAATTAAAATCAGTTTTGCATCTAAATCCTAAATAAGTTTACATACAGGGTGTCCCACTAAGGTCGACGAGGTACGTTATTATGGAAACCATAGGCCTTACGGCATCGGTATTTTTTTTTTCACTAAATCGGCCAAGATAAATTGATGGAAAATATTTTCAAGATTCTAAGATGGCCGCTAGGGGGCGCAATCACGATGATATAACTAAAAATTCAAATTTTCTCGAAAAATCGCTATATTAAGGTACTGTTTCAACAACAGAAATCAAAAGTTCGTTCGTGCTTATTAGCTTTTTTTCGTATCTTCACTAATAAGGGTGGGGGAAGCTGGTGAAAAAATAGTTTTAAAAATTGCTTTATCTTCCATACCCCTTATCCAAACTGATTCAATTTGGGCTTATTCGAAAGAGAATTTCATTGTTATTAAGAGCACCACTTCGTTCGGGGTCGATAGTTCCCACCGCGTCTTCTAGAGGGCGCTGTTTAACCAAGATCCAGTTTTTTCTAATTTTCTGGAAAAATCCAAATGGCATGATATATTTTTTTATAACTCTGCGTAAAGAGCAAAAAATTATCTACATTTTGGCGCAAACCGCAATCCGATATCTGCATCCGTTTTCAAGTTATTTGCAAGTAACTATTTTATTTGAATATCTCCCTCCTGTCATTTTAAACCAATCAAAAAATCTCATTTTGTGGTCAAAAATTATTTTCAAGTGGAAAAATTTCATGACATGACATGAAAACAAAATAAAATACTCATAAATGTTAATAAATTAATAAAAATTTATTGTTTTGCTCAGTAAGGAAACATTCTTAACAAAAACCACTCGTGCTTCTAATTTTTCCTGACGCAAAATCTAAAAAACTCGTTTTCAAGCAATTTGTTTACCAAAATACTGGCGTGAATTTTTTTCATCTATGACTGTGTGGAAGGTAGCACTTTACAGCACACCTGCGGTAAAGTACTTGAAATACAAAAATATTGACACTCGAAGGTGAAATTTTGTACCAACACATGCCGAAAGTGCCTTTACCGCTGTTGACGCCATGACAACTGCTGTCGCGTGCGGTAAAGCCCTTAACGTACGGTAAAGTATCACTTTCCTCATTTGTTAGGTGAATAACTATAACAGGTACGAGCGTTATAATAGGTATTTACGTAACAAGTGCTGAAAGTGATACTTTACCGCACGCGACAGCAGTTTTCATGGCGTCAAGAGCGGTAAAGGCACTTTCGGCATGTGTTGGTACAAAATTTCACCTTCGAGTGTCAATATTTTTGTATTTCAAGTACTTTACCGCACATGTGCTGTAAAGTGCTACCTTCCACATACTCATAGATAAAAAAAATTCCCGCCAGTATTTTGGTAAACAAATTACTTGCAAACGAGTTTTTTCAGATTTTTCGACAGGAAAAATTAGAAGCATGTGTGGTTTTTGTTAAGAATGTTTCCTTACTGAGCAAAACAATAAATTTTTATTAATTTATCAACATTTATGAGTATTTTATTTTGTTTTCATGTCATGTCATGAAATTTTTCCACTTGAAACTAATTTTTGACCACAAAATGAGATTTTTTGATTGATTTAAAATGACAGGAGGGAGATATTCGATTAAAATAGTTATTTGCAAATAACTTGAAAACGGATGCAGATATCGGATTGCGGTTTGCGCCAAAATGTAGATAATTTTTTGCTCTTTAAGCAGAGTTATAAAAAAATATATCATGCCATTTAAATTTTTCCAGAAAATTAAAAAAAACTGGATCTTGGTTAAATAGCGCCCTCTAGAAGACGCGGTGGGAACTATCGACCCCGAACGAAGTGGTGCTCTTAATAACAATGAAATTCTCTTTCGAATAAGCCCGAATTGAATGAGTTTGGATAAGGGGTATGGAAGATACAGCAATTTTTAAAACTATTTTTTCACCAGCTTCCCCCACCCTTATTAGTGAAGATACGAAAAAAGGCTAATAAGCAAACTGGCGCAAAAATTAACGAACTTTTGATTTCTGTTTTTAAAACAGTACCTTAATATAGCGATTTTTCGAGAAAATTTGAATTTTTAGTTATATCATCGTGATTGCGCCCCTAGCGGCCATCTTAGAAACTTGAAAATATTTTCCATCAATTTCTCTTGGCCGATTTAGTGATGAAGAAAAAAATCCCGATGCCGTAAGGTCTATGGTGTGTTATTTCTCGTTGTGGGTAATGCGCTTGTGTAGCTTCTTGCCCACAATGCGAAAGACTGGTAGCCTAACCATCTTTCCATCACTGCCGCGTACAACAACTATACGGAACACGCAGTCCATTTCATACTCATGTCTCTGGGGTATATATGCACAGCCACTCTGCCGCACCGCATGAGTTAGTTGTCATTTGTAAAGAATAGCGCGATAAGCAGATCTAAGACAAAGCAATCAAAGAAGTGCGTGTTATATTGTGTCGAAAATAAAGTGTGAAAAGTGTTTCAAGTGCCCTTGTGTATTTCTTGATAAAAATATTTGATTAATATGTAAGGCAATGCTTAAACGTGAAAGAGGAGCAGGACTTGCCAGTTCTGAAGCAAAACGGCGAAAACTAAAAGAAGAGCGCAACACCGAAACAGTGGAAGAGAGAATGAGCACCGCGAGAAGCAGAAAAACCGGAAAACAACGGAATGAACGAAGTGAAGAATCAAGGATTGATACAATCTTATAATAAAAGAATGCAAACGCAAGCCACCCATGAAAATATCTCATTAGAAGCGCGAACGAGGACAAGTAAACAGTATAGTACAACCTAACAAAAGGAGCATTCCACTACGATCCGACGAAAGAATATACCAAACACAAACACGTCGTCATCGCAAAAATGGATAATATCCGCCAATTTTGCAACGCGAAAAAATTCAGTAGCGAAGCACCAGTAATCTGTTGCATAAATGGAAAAGTTCGATTACCACCACTAGAAGCACCTCCCTAGGAATTTCTACATTACATGACCAGGGAAACTCCAGAATCAAAACAGTTTGTCAAAATATGTATAAAAGCGAACAATGCTGCTTCTTTCGGTGTCACTTCGATCAACACTAACAGAGATGAAGTCGATTATGTTTTTTCCATCCGAGGACAAATCTATCACAAAATGGGATCATTACTACCACTACCCAACAAAGACTATAAATTTCACAAGTAGATTTCACTCGATATTTCATCGGAAATGAAGAAAGAGAAATTGATCAACGATGCACCAACATCAGTGGATTGAGACGAGAAATAATCCAAGATATACAGAAGATCTTACACGAAAACAATCAGCTCTCTTATTCAAAACAGCACTAGACCGAATGATTTTTGATGACTATAAAGTTATAATTCGAGCCGATAGGAGACCACCTGGAGAACACGCACCTCAGATGGACGAAGTCGCCATCGTAATTTTGGACAATGAAAACACAAGCAGTGACGTAATGGTACAACGAAGAAGAGCAGGAACGCATTGCACAGACACATCGTTCATATAATGCCCTGCAATATCCATTGATATTTTTATACGGAGAGGACGAATATCGCTTTTGAAAGAAATCCAACCTGAAGCAGGCATGGAAATAAACAAGATAAGATAAGACAAGTTTCCAGTCTTCCTCTTCCACTACTGGGAAGATTTAGTGATTTTTTTATAAACCTTAAAATATAGAATTAAATTTATTTGATTTGAATTACTTAGTGTCTATCCAGACAGTATACAGACATCTGACATCTTAAAAATGTCCACAAACAGGGACGTAGCAACAGGTCGTGCAAGTCGTGCCGCGCACAAGGGCCCGGGCCCCCGGCGTCCGGCTTGTCCTGTCGCTTTTTGGACACAACATATAAGAAAAACAAAATCATTTCATCATTTTATGCTCAAGCAATATTCGCATTGTCGATTTTAAATCGAAACAGAAAACTGTAATATCGATCTCTACAGATTTCTTTTTAGTCAGTCCTCTTACTCCTAGTATTCGTGTCAATATTGTCAATTGTCAATCTCAATCGTGTATTAGCTCTCACAAATGTCTATTTTACGGAGCCATTTCAGTCCGTAAAATGCTTCATTTTCGGCCTAGCCTCGTTATAGCAATCAGAAAAAAAAAAAAAAAAACTGGCGCTCTTGCCACAACAATGCCAATGCGTAATCAGTTTATAGTATTTTACATTATTAGCCAGGTAAAACAGTTTTTACTGGTGATTGAAGGAAATGACTAGCGAGCCGTCAGGCGAGCTTGTCACCTTCAAGAGCCAGTAAAAACTGATACCTGGCGTATGATGTACAATAATTTATTTGTTACTCATTTGTAAACAATAAATAAAAAATTAATACATAGGTAATACAATTTTAATAAATAATTCTAGTGACCCTACTGACTTGTAAAAAGTTTTTACAGTTTAGCTGTCAATTTTACAAGTCAGTAGAGCCAGTAACTATTAAAAATCAATTTTCGTTGTTTATGTTTTGACTTGATAAATGACGTTTTACAAATGAGTGACAAATAAAAATTTTTATTTGTCTGTCGAGTCTGGGTAGTTTCCTGCCCAAGTGTTTTTCTTGTCATAATTTGTTTTTGCTCCCTCTCAACAAAAATATTAAGATTTTTGAATTTATTGAATTTTTCTTCTATTGAATGTAGTTTTTCATTCTGCACAAAAAAAAATACTTATTTGATTTTTTTTTCAGATAATTTGAAAAATTCCATGTTGCCAAATGAAATAAATGAATGAAATAATAGGTAACTTTTGATTCTCCACAAAAAAGTTCTCTTGAGTTTTTTTGATATTATGCATACTTTACGAAATATTCAATAAATTCCAAAAAAATCAAGATGGCGGCCATTTTTTTCCAAGTTCCACCAATGCGACGAAGTGCGATTTTTGAGGGATTAATTAGGACCTTATTGACTACTCATTTCTGCAGAGATCACTTTGTTACTAGTTTTTTCTACCCCAACCACCTATTTTGACTAGCCTATTTATCAAGGTTGGTTTCAAATGTTTAAGATTATTAAATTCTTCTGTAAAGTTATTAATGAATAACTCTTGTTTGATTATCGAAATTTTTTTTATACATAGTGGAAAAAATTATTACCTAGCTATCTTTTTTTTTTTGGTAATTACATGGAAGTTGAGTAGGTAGGTACTCATACATTTCTAACAAAGTGACAACTTTGCTTCTCGCATTGACAATATGTATGAACTGTAAATTGAAAATAAATGTTTCTATGAGCATGCGGTAAGAATCACATTGCTGCACCCATTGATTGGCGTGTCGAAAGTAGTACTTATCCGCACTCAGTGCGGTAAAATCATTATGGCTCATGTGACGGAACTGGCTATTGTCCCTTTTTGGACTTTAGTCAAACCGCATCAGGGATGCCAAAAGTTTTTACTTTAACTGACTCTTAAAATTAACCATTAGGTATTTGATCATTTAAAGCCTTGTATTATGGGTTAGAGGTTGCCTTGATTCTCATTTATACAAATAAACCGCTGAAATAGAATAGTTATCAATTTAAATAATAAATGAAAGTAATTAAGTATAGTCAGCAATGAAATCCTATCTAAAAATTCCTTATTGGACGTCCAGTCGAATTACAAATTTTATACTAATCTAAAGTAAATGAGTATCTGGATTTATAAAGGGTAGGGAAATCTGATAATGATAATAATAGCATTTATGATTGAATGTTTAGTGAACGAAACTTGGAACGCAAGCTCAAATTCACTAATCAAATGCTTTAATTAGTTCACTGTAATCACAAATGTTTATTGATCCTTGAAAGTTCTTTTATTTATTGAGACAACAATTTGAGCACTTTTCTGCTGAAGTCTATGTGCAAGAAAAGTCTTTATATGCTCAGTTTCTTATACAAATGAACAAATGTTAATTTCACGAGTGTGAAACCAAATTTCTGCATTAAACGTTGGAAGACACTTCAAATTATAGTGCATTTCAAGCGAATCATTAATCAGTATTTTTATTTTTCGACTATTAGAGAAATTGTAACGATTTTACTTGCCTAATCCAGTTCGTGCAGATAAATCCACAAGGCGATTATTTATCCATTTATCACTATTCACACTGGCAGCTAGGGAATTTTCCACTGAGATGAAAACAACGCACATACAGGTGCGTTGGAGCCCGGCGAGAGTGAGAGAGAGAGAGAGCCAAAACCAGGCACTTACAAGAGAATTTTGCTTGTCCGAGGTGACTTGCAATAATTAGGGGTTATGTCAGGCCTTGAGACACAGAGAGGAATATTTTTACTATAAATCGCGCGTACTAACGGGGGTTTTGCTTCTGAGGAGCATTCAGAGGGCGCGAACTCTTCGCTTATCCTAATAGTACTGAAGAATGTGCGTCGACTAGACTCTCCCAGGGGAGCAGATCGCAAAAGCTAGAAAACAATGTGGCGGCTGACCACAGCGGCGAGAAAGCTACCTTATAAGGTAATGAAGAAACCTGCAATTTTATTGTTTCAAAGGGTTGTTGTTGCCGGTTTTACAGGATGAATAGTCCAGCAATAGCATCTATTTTTAGAATATTATTTTTATGGTAAATAATAGAAAGGAAAATTATATTAAATTAGAAATAATAAAATTTAAACTTGTTGTGGGTTATTTCCGCAACAGCTTAACTCGATGTTCACATTCACAAATCAGGTGGTGGCATATTAGGTCATATAAGGTTTATATGTATGCTCGAAGAAAAAAATCTTGTACCTAACACAATGCGTAAAGTGACTTTTTCGCACTTGTTGGGTTAATAACAATTTTATAGTTTCATTGTACAAGGGTTTTTCTATAAAATTTCCAAGACTAAGTTGATGCCAATAATTCCTAAATAGCCTATAACAATATTACATACCGAGATGTCGAAGGTGAGAAGTGTTTCATTCTTGTCGCGGGATCGGTTAGTTAAATATAATCTCCAGTATTCGACTGAATATCTCTTCAATTGCTTTCGCCCCTTAAGGAGCTGAAGTGCAGATTTTTTGAATGCCTATTAGCGCATATTATGTTATGGGATTGGACAAGCGAACCTCCAGACACTTTCTAATAGATAGTTCCTCTTAAAAATGTTGTGATAATTTTTTTTGTGTATGTGTATTGCTTTTTATTTTGTGATTCCTTATTTTTTTTAGGGTGCAGGCAATTTGAGTTATAATAATGTACCTCAAGACAAAATTCTAGATTCAATATCAAAAGCAACAATCCATTTTATAACAGTTCTTGAAAGCGAGGTGCATGAAAAAACTTTGTGTTTTGCTTTGGATATGCTCTCACTATGGACTGCAAAACTTTCGAATGTTATTCCTGAAGCTCTCCTTGACATATTCCAAAATGGCCCATTATTAAAAACATCAACTCCTTTGGTTAAATTGGCTTACTTCCAATGTATGCTGGCTACGTTTTCTTGCTATAATATATCACAAGCGGAAAATTTAGTACCGATGTTTATAAAATCTGTGGAAAAGGCCATTTCCCAATCAACTCAGCCTCTTTCAATTAGTGAGGGATTGTACGCTTCGCTTTTACTGATAAGATTTGCTGAAGCAAAATTAGGCGAAGAAAATGGATTATCCATTATGTGGAGTTCAGTGTTTGATATGGAAAAGCAAATATTTATTTCTGAAAAGTTTTTACAAACCGCTAATGAAAATAGTAAGTTATCTGTTACTTAATTAAAGTTTTTGATTGAATTTATGTTCCTTTGCAGGTTTTCCTCATGTTATCCAGCTTTGTGAAAAACTTCTTGTTAATTATTCCGAAAAAATAGGTAACAAATCTGAACCTGTCCTAAAAGCAATAATCCATTGTGCTTTATATTCCTCAACAAAAGTTCGTAAAAATTGCCTTCTAATAGTTAAAAATATGATAGGAAGTGTACAAGGAGCCAAAATATCTATAATCCTTCTACAGCAACTTCAAATAATGTTGGAAAACAAAAAAGATTATTTTGTGAAAGAAAATGGCGATAATGCCATTGCTACCTCGCCACACGCAGTAGCGGAGTTTATTACTTGTCTATGTTGTGCTGATAATTGGTCAATGGAAGATGCACAAGATGTTGCAATTGCTACAATTTTACCAGCGCATCACCCATTCGTTATAACATTAGACCCTGGATTCTGGATTAAGATTTCGAAAGGATTGAAATGTGTATCGAAAGATTTGATGGTTCAACGTAGTTCCGAACTAAGGAAATTATTGATTGAACAATACAAACTGTCCGAAGTAAGTGATTTATGTTTAATTTTTTTTGTAGGGGGAGTTTAGGTAGGACTACCAACACTACTACATCGGTTTTCTATGAGTCAGAATTTTTACCCTATAATGAAATAATTTTTTCCATATTTTCATCACAACGTGGGTGGGTCAAGTGGCTCTCATTTACCCATGAAACGGACATAAGCATAGTCCCATGTCAAAGTGCGGTATCAGCCAAAATGAACAGTAACGAAATCTAGAGCTCTGAGGAATTGCGCACGCAAGCGGCATTTATCTTATTCCGCTTACTTTTCATTAGTTGTCAGTTGACACTAGGTCCCGTTACTTTTCGTACGATATGTATAATATACTATTATTATATTCAAATGTATTTAGGTTTTTTTTTTTCTATTTAGGCGTACAAAAATGCCCTAGCAACGATCCTCAAAGTCAATCCCGATATAATTCTCCCGGAACTACTGGATTACGTGAAAACCAAGTTAGAAGATCCAAGAATATGCCAAATAACGAAATCCGATTATTTCACATTCCTGATGCCTGAGGGCGAATTATATGACAAAACCGTCATACCTGGCGACGAAAGTAATGCAGAAATGAATTTGAAAAGGGAAAGTAAAGCTTATAGTTATAAGGAACAATTAGAAGAATTACAATTAAAGCGAGAGATGGAGGAGAAACAGAAGAAACAAGGGAAAGTTAAGTATACTTCGAAACAGTTGGAAGCGATAAAAAACCAGAAATTAAAGGAAGAAGTTATAAGAAGTAGACTAAAAGAGGTAAGAATTTATTAGGATTATGGGTTCATAACTTAATTTCTTGGTTACGGCACTAGATTAGGATTAGATACAGTAAAACATTGGTGTAACTGTGATTCGTATGTCGGTATAGGTAGTGATCGTAATAATAAACCGTGTACCGTTGAGTGGAGTCATTTTTTTTCTTCTGGCATTTTGAAGGCTCAATGTGGCTAGTACCTGATGAAAATAAGGGTGGTTTCAATGCCTGCCTCCGGTTCGAAAATTCAGAAAAATAGTTCTCCTACAGCCGTACGGAAAATGAGTTTTCCCGCACGGTGCGGTAAAACTTTTTTTTTTGACATATCCGTGCGGAAATAGCTATTTACCTAACAAGTGCGGAAAATGAATTTTTCCGCACGCGGCTGCCGTTCTTGGTGATGCAGCCGAGTGCGGAAAAATATTTTCCGCAAGTGTTAGGTACAATATTTTTCCTACAGGCGAAAAAATGTAAAATTTTTCTTTTTTTTTGACATATCAGTGCGGTAAAATTTTTTCCGCACTGACAGCCGTGCGGAAAAACTTTTTCCGCACTGATATATCAAAAAAAAAGTTTTACCGCACCGTGCGGGAAAACTCATTTTCCGCACGCATATCAGTGCGGAAAATCGATTTTTCCGCACGGCTGTAGGAAAAAGTTTTTTCGCACGGCTGTCAGTGCGGAATAGTTATTTTCCTAACAAGTGCGCAAAGTGATACTTTCCCGCACGAAAAAGCAGTTAGACGTACGACGCGAAGCGGAGTTCGGATAAGCTTTGAGTGCGGGAAAGACACTTTGCGCAAGTGTTAGGAACAATATTTTTTCTACGAGTATCTCAAAAAAGTAGACTTTGAATTGTTAAAATATTAGAAAAATCAATCAAATCAAAATCTTCGAAAATCGTTAAAAATCCATCGGAATTCCTCAGAATGTCTTTTAAATTAAATCCCCAAAAATCTTTTAACATCTTCTGGAATTTCTAGAATACCAGCTAGAATATTTTCATGAGAGTCTCTTAAATATCAAAAATTCTACAAATTCCTAGCGGTACAGGCTGGTCCAATTTAGACACCTTTGATAAGAAATATCAGGTTAACTAAGCGCTTATTTTAACTAAAACCCTTCATTTTGAGTATTAGTTTATTCAGAAACCATCAAAACATTGAAAAATCAAGTATAACTTATGGTAATTATGCGTAACCAAAATGAGTGCGCAAAGAGTTTCCGTGCGCAAAGTTGAACTTTGCGCACGCAAATGAGTGCGCAAAGTGATTACTTTGCGCACGGAAGTAGAATTTTTTTTTTACCGCACTGATATGTCAAAAAAAAAAAGAAAAATTTTACATTTTTACGCCTGTAGGAAAAATATTGTACCTAACACTTGCGGAAAATATTTTTCCGCACTCGGCTGCATCACCGAACTCCGCTACGCGTCGTTCGGTGAACGGCAGCCGCGTGCGGAGAAATTCATTTTCCGCACTTGTTAGGTAAATAGCTATTTCCGCACGGATATGTCAAAAAAAAAAGAAAAATTTTACATTTTTTCGCCTGTAGGAAAAATATTGTACCTAACAGTTGCGGAAAATATTTTTCGCACTTGTTAGGTAAATAGCTATTTCCTACTCGCGTGCACACTTTACCGCACTCGTTTGCGTGCCGTAGGTGGTACTTTACTGTAAAAATTCTTTACCGCACTCTTTTTAAAAAACGTTTTTAATGGACCCTTCTCATGTGATGAACAACATGGATAGTTTATTAGGATTTCTGCAATAAAAAAAGAGACACATATAATGACGCGCGATACCTGTGTGGAATGACAAGTTTGAGAAGTACGAATTTGCAAGTGCTAGCAAACCTTTAATTGTACAATTATCATTGTATTTGACATAGAAATCGTTACTTTACAAACCCTCAAATCTCTGTTCCAACTTTAATCATCTTCAGTCAGGTTGAGAGCAGGTAACCATTGTTTTTTTACATTTTGATTGCTTGAGAACTTGTGAAAAGAAAGGTTTGACTTTTTTTTCGCCTTACCCTGACAAGATCTTACACATCACATATGAACCATTATACAGTAGTGTCGCAATAATCCGGATCAATTAAAACCCAGATCACGAACACACGATTCGATCGTATCGTCCATATAAATTACATGGACGATACTATCGAATTGTGGGTTCGTGATCCGGGGGCTGGCCAATCCGGATTATCAAATGATTCGGATTACTAAGGCATTTTACAGTCCGCTTTTTCTTAATGCCGCTGATGGTTGAAGCCCATACTCCATACTTAACAGCTATATTTGCCACTAACTCCGCGTTTCAGCTCATCTACAATCGCTGACTTCTCGTTGAGACCTAAAGTCCTAAAGTTTTGTGTTTGCGTTTAATAGGTGCCATTTTCTTCGAAAAAGCCCACATAGTAAGGAAGGACGCTGCATATTGAATGATGCGTGTAGACATGTAAAAACTATCTATCCACTTGAACGCAGTTACAAAACGACAAGTGAAAACCTGTGTTTTTATTTTCAAAAGTCATGTAAATGAATTCGGATTACTAAATCAAGTAAAATCCGGATTACAGAGTACATCAAGGGAATGAAAATGCGATGCGGATTACAGAAGCATATGGATTATCGCGGGATCGGATTATCGCGACACTACTGTATAATAAACAGTTTTTGTAATAATTTTCAGCAATATTGATTGATTATTGAAGTTAGCTTTAAAAAAAATCAGCGTCAGACCGCGTTCATTCAATTGACAATTTTATTATCTGTCACCCACAAGCGGCGCACGCAGCACAGGTAAAATGAGAAAGGTCCATTGTTCATATTCTTTATTGTGCTAGTTCTGGGATTTTTGTGGAATCAAAGAGCTGACTGCTGCATTCGCTGCTTCGAATATTTCTTCATCGAAGGTCTCCATCTCTCAAGAATTTATTTTATGCCAAAAAATGGGAAATTTGAACCACAAAACACGAATCTATTTAAACTTTCCATGTGGTATGACGCAAATTATAATATTGATTTGTTGCTATGGGAAAAACAAAATGCAACGTAGCAGATTTGACAAATGCCACCAAGACAGACTTTTAACCAAATTCTTGTGAACATATTAAAAATAAATGCCTAAGACATTGCGTATTGTTTGTCGATTTTTAACTGACAGTTTTTGTTTGAGGAGCGAGGGGGTGTTTCAGATGACAAAAACAGGTGTGACGTCAGGTAACCATTGGAGTTCTCATGTAGAAAGCCACCAGCTCACATTCCGTCCGAGTATCAGATTAAAATCGACGGACAATAGACTTTTTAAAAAGTACGCCCATTCCGGTGATTGAAGCAGAAACAGCGGAACCTGCTTTATTCCTTAGAAGACACTACTTAAGCGATAAATTCCTGTTGAAGATTATGTAAAAAAATAGTTCTCTGTTAAATAAAATTGATGAACTTATTACAAAGAAGATTTAAAAAAAAAAAATAGTATATTACATACCGAGTAGGGAAGTGTTTCATTACTGTCGAGAGATTCATATAGTCAATCGAGACGCGAAGCGTCGAGATTGACTAATAATCTCGAGACAGAAATGAAAACTTCCCTCCGAGGTTTGTATACTATTTTATTTGCAAGCACACCATTAATCACAGAACATATCACCTATAGAAAAATATCTCAAATGGGAGAATCGCGACGAAGGTTTTTAGTTAGGTTTTTAGTCAACGATGGCGACACTGTCGGGAGATAAGAGAAATTTACAGGTATCTATGGTGTGGACAGTGATTTGTGTTGGTTGGTTTTGTCATTTATTTTGTCATTTTAAAAGTCAAAATTTGAATTTTTAAATTGTGTTGTTGTAAACCATGGTCCCCCCACGCGCGTTAAAGTGAAAATTCAAAAAGTTTTGGTTGAAAAAAACCCTAATTTTTGTTCGTATTTTTTTGTATTTACTCGTTTGTTTCGTTTCGTTCGTATTTGTATTTATTATTCGTATTTACTTTGCGATCTACCTATAGCTGCGTGTCTCTTGCTAACTTACTAACTCTTTTTGCACTATGTTCGACATCGGAAACTTCCTGCCAGTCATAATTTTCAAAAAAATGAGGCGAAAAGAGCTAAAAGGAGTCAGCAAGCCAAATGCAGTTGAACATTAAAAATTATTTAAAAATAATAAAAATATATGAAAAAAATCAATTCGCCTTTTTGTCAAGAATGCTCGATTAGTTGGGTTTTCAGTCAACGATGGCGCTCTAATTCATAACCGGTACATAACATTGCAGATACTTTTCTAGAGGTGATATGTTCTGTGCCATTAATTATGATTAGTCAATCTGCTGCTTTGACGTTTTTACCTGACATGCTTTCATTGTTGCCAGCAAAGGTAAATAAATTAGAGTGAGGGAAATCGGTGAGGGAAGTCGGATAGGAAAATCGGTGAGGGAAATCGAAGAGGGAAGTGACACAGGTAAAGTGTCACTTCCAAATTTTTAAAAAGTCAGTAATGACAAGATTACATATATGATTGCAAATAAAAACTATTACCTGTTGTACCTGTGGACATCGGATTCTGAATAGGATATACCTATAAGAACAATCAACAACTAAGGAAAATACATATTAAACACTCAACAATCACTATGTAATACGTTGAAGATATAAAATGAATCACTAGGTCGATAAAATTACAATTCGCGTTCGCAATTAAAATAATTGTTGTACAATTAAAACTTGTTCAGTTTTATATACCTCACATAAACACTAATTTCATAAGTAAAAGGTAAAAGAGCAAAACTATCAATTAAAAAAAAGAGAAAAAAGACAAAAAACACACACAAACCAACAGACAGGTTAAAAAAACACATATACAGGGTGTCACGAAAGGTTTGTTTTTTTGATAAACATATGTCCGGAAATGCTTCGCTTTCCAGATACAGGGTTGTGGAAAACTCACATTGCTTCAGTTAACTGATCACTGGCTGCTAGCAAGTAATAAAACATGCACAACG